ATGCCGAGTATAGAAACTGGGGGAGTTGGCTGGGGGGCAGCGATTGCTGCTCGGGGACAGGCTGAGCATTGGTCAGCAGGCGGTGAGCAATTGCATTGTGCATCACTTGTTTTGTATATTCTTTTATCATTATTATTTTTATTATTATTTTCTCTTCCTCTGCTATCCTATTAAACTGTCTTTATCTCAACCCTCAGGTTTTACTTTTTTTTCCCCGATTCTCTCCCTGACGCAGCTGCGGGGGGTGGGGAGGGTGAGCGAGCGGCTGTGTGGTGCTTGGTTGCCGACTGGGGTTAAACCACAACAGGAGCCATTTCCTCCCTGGGATCGCATGCCAGCAGCCTTCAGCCTAGAGAAGGAGACCTGCTAGCGCTTGCAAATGCAAGGCAGAAAGCACTTGTCAGAAAGCTATGCGAGATGACAGCAGAAAGGTGCTACGTATACCAGGAGACAACTGACTGATTGCTCTGGATGGGTTGCCCTCCCAGCTGAAAAGCGGGGTGCTGTAACTGCTGGCACAGCAAACCACTTCCGAGTGAAACAGTGGGCACTCCAGCTGAACAGGGACAACTCCATCGTGTCAGCGTCAAAAAGCATCAGCAGAGAAAGCGGCTTTTAACACGTTCTGTGAGGACAGCGGGAGTCTAACCAGGGAACACGGCAATCACACACAGATGCTGGCTCCCAGCTGTTCTGCATCCACGGGCCCGGGCTGCCGATACCTCGGTGTCGATGACGTCTGTGATGTAGCGGGGGGTGAGAAGCGGCATGCGCACGTACTGCAGCAGTTCTGGCAGCGATGCTTCACGTTCTTTTTTTGAGTGCTTCACCCAGTTTATAACTGCCTCAAACACTGGCTCTTCGGAGTCCACCTGGAAAGAGGAGACATGCTGATCAGACTGCAGGATAATATTTCAGCAACTGCTGTGGAACAGACAACTTCCAGGCTGTTGACACTGCTTCACAGCTAGCAAGAGAGCAGGACATTTCAAGTGAGAGTTTGTTATGGAAACTCCCATGAGCTGTATTTACAAGCGCTATGAAATTCCCTCATTTGCTTTTCCTTAAAACCGCACTTGTTTTTTCCTTACAGCTGAGATTAACAACTGGCAGTACCCAGAAAAGTCAGCTTTATGGTACGCAGCAGAGCCAGAAGCTGGGAGCCACCACTTTTGAGAGAGCCCAGTGTCAGGCCGTAACTCGCAGGGCAGCTCCCCCGACTTCTCAGCGGAGCAGGAGTTACGGTCCTGCAAAATGCGAAGTACCATCATAAAGATGATCAGAATCACGTTTCCTTTTTACGGAGCGGTGTCTCGCTTAACCCTCTGCAGCCCCGTGCCCACGCGCTGCCCCTTTAACACCCAAGCCATACCAGGTACATTTAAGTTGGTTTTTTTTTTTAATTTCAATCCACATTTAAGAAACTCTAAACAACTAGATTTCAGAGTGGAGAACCCCAGGGCGTGAATGTTACTGTTCTGACTAGTTTATTTCTCTCTCCATTTAGGACCAGCACATGCTGGTGCTTATCCCACGTCCAGAGATTACACTGACTAAACCATCTAAATTTGGTACTTAGAGAACCTCAGGTGCTTTGGACACCTATGATTACCAAAAGCGAAAGAATTGTAAAAAGCTCTATAATATATTGTTTAGGGTTGGTTTTCTTTTTGCATGTCTTCAGATCATCCAATGTAAAAGCAAATCAGACATGAATTTATTATCATGAGGTCTGTTAACTGTTATTAAATATGAAGATAAAAGGAGATACTGGAATAAGCGGATTGAGCCTTCCCACCAATACCTGGCTCGTACACTCTGAAGTTCAGTTTGAAGCTAGCTGTTGCAGAATGTTCTGAAGCAGGGAGCCAGAGGTTAATTATGTAAGGTAATTCTTCCAAGCCATTGATTTATATTTGTTACAGTGCAATTTGAAATGGCCTCTTTCTATTTGAATTACAGGGAAAGGACAATTAGAGCTCACAAAAGGAGGGCAGAATACTTTATTGTTTCCAATTTTCCCCACCTCCTCCTCAAACGCAATAATCCCGCATCATTTTATCCCCTCCCGAACTGACTGTCCTCTGATACGTGTAACAGGTTTGTTGTTCATGAAATCAGTTCTGTTTTCTGATAAATGATGAGTAATGCTAAACACAGCATCACAGTGAGGACCTGCCGTTATACTTCTCCAACAGTGAGGGGATTTTCCGAGAGTGCTCCCTCAGTGCCCTCTGATGCAGCACATCACCGCTGCCCCGGCACAGCAACAGCTAGATTTGCTTCATTCACCTTCTTAAGGTATTACAACGAATGCACACCTCACTGCGTCTGCAAGGCCTGAATCAGTCCTTCCAATCCACAATGAATTCTACTTCGCCTGGGTGGATCATCTGATTAGTTTGGCTGCGTCGTTCTCAAGTTCCTCATTATTTCCTCTTCGCTGTCCAGAAGCGTTATGTCAGTACTCGCCACAACCCACGTAAGCTCAAACCCTCACAGCATTAAAGCTGCGGCTTGTTAAACACCAAACACACTCAGCCTTTCTCCACTGCTGATCTCAGCCCGTGCCAGGGTCTTTCACTGCTACCTCGCATGCTCTTTGTCAAGCAGACTTCTAATCAAGAGGACATCAGCTTGGCTGAAGGCCACTTTCACGGCAGACTTTCAAGGCATACATCAAGAATTCTCCTCTGGCTACCCCTGTATTGGCTTTCAGGAATTCACCAGAGATATCACTTACATTGGTTTTCTTCTAAGAGTTCACGTCACTGTGAACTCTGAATAGCGATTGCTTCAATCACTTCTTTTAGAACAGACGCAAACATCAACTCTCGACAAAGTCCATCTCAGTACAACACCGAGTCCCCTCCCCGTTATCAAGGAACGTTCAGCTCATTTCAATTCTCAAGAACATACATATTCATAGAAAATTTGGAAAAAAGTATTTGACAGGTTCCAGCCAAATAGTAAATCCTCTAGAAACCAACCTTAAGGGAACACAATCTGCATATAACTGCCTGAAGGGTCAGACTACCCTGCACCATCCTGCATTCTGCTGCTTGTAAAAGCAGAGGACACCCAAATGCCTGGGATGACAGATGCATTCCTTGTGCTGCTGAGTAGCATGAAAAGGTCTACAAATAGAAGTTAAAGTCTTCGGGGTATTTCTGAAACGTAGGCATTGAGACAACTTGCCTTTGTAACCTCTGAAAGCTTCTCCAGGGAAAGGAGACGACAAGGGAACAAGAACTCTGCGGAGGTAACTAACTGTGATTGCCTTACTTGCAAGAAACACTCGTGTGACAACAAATTCTTACATAGAAGCTACAAGTTACTGATCAATTTCAGATTACGTGGCTAAAAAATCAGAAGAAGTTTCTTAGAAATTAAATTTCAAATTCAGGTACTGTGTGACAAGTCCACCCTAGGAGTATGGACTAATTTCTGACTAGTTTCAACGTTTTACTTCAATGCTTTTCACAGTAACGGTACTTTTCAGGTTTTACCTGAATTTCATCACACTTGATGAGCTTTTCAACCTCTTCTTGATTTAAGAGGATAAACTCTTCATGCTGAACCACCTCTGGAAAATGTTTCTGGCTGAAGACCTCTGCAGCTTGCATTAGATCAACACAATTGTGTGTCTCAGCAAAATCCCGAATGCCCAAACAATTTGATGGATCCAGCTGGCTTTCTAGAAACTCACAGCAAGCTTGTTTCACACCTACGGAAAATTGGAGGGGTGAATGAGCACTGCATGCTTACTATCAATCCACTGCTTTGGAAAGGGCTTCAGAAAAGAAAGTTCTAAACAATAATGAAAATCCAACTCAAATAACAAGCTTAAAAATACTACAGACACACACGCATGCAAATATTTCTTTGGAGGGACGTGAAAACACTAAGCAGTAGACCATGTGTTTGGGCTGTTTTGATCTCTGGCTATTCTATTTAAATGCAAAAATTAAATAAATCTGATACTAGCAAAAGACTCAAATGTGAGTTGTACTCAACTTCATGGATTATAAGCAAAAAATGTATATGCTAGTGGATATGGCTACCAGATTTCTAGGTTTTCCCCAATGTCTTTTTGGTAGTTGCCTGGGATTTGGGATAATTGCCTGGGGTAGCTCCGTAGGTGAACGTGCAATGACATCAACCAGTTTATTACGACCCAGACATACTATGATGGCAGGACAAATGACATCAAGGATTTACTTCTTATTATAAGTTGACTGAGCTGTAACATTTATGTGCTATACAGCCCACCATTCCTCCTGGGAGTTCTCACGCAGAAATCCAGTAGCCCAAAGCATGGAACAATAACCTGTTTTATCACCTCTTTTTCCACCCAAGGCGGTTCCTCTACCAATAAGACCACAGCGCACAAGACAACAGAAGACATTTGACGTAAGTCCTTATAAATATCATGCCTCCCACAATCTGTCTTCCATTTACAGAAGGTCAGACAACCCAAATCTCTGAACACCAGCAATTGTGCAATTTGTGCTGATACTTGGCAATTACCTTTCAGCTGAAGCAGACATGCCGCTGGGAGCAATTCTTGGACATTTTCTACTGTCACGTGAACAGTTTCTGTATATACAAAGTCTAGCAGGATTTCCATGGTGGAAGCTGTCAGTCCCTGGATATCTACGTAGGGTTTATCTTTCTCTGAGAGCTGTAAATTAGAAGGGAGACAAAGGTTTATTTTTCAGTAATGTGATCAAAAAGCCAACAATGCTCAGCAGTTTTTAAAAATGTGATCTGTCAGAGAGGTTTCAACAGAGATTTGTCCTTTCTCGTGTGCCCACTGAAAGAGTAAGGGGAAGGAGGGAATTTCC